ATAAAGGACTCTGGTGAGTGCATAGGTAACCAATATGGACTAATTCCATTATATTTACTTATTACATTTATTTTAAAGGTTCATTGAGGAGACTGTTGGCTTTGCTAAAGTGATATTTGGGGTAGTCAGGATCCAAATTCCATTTTAACTGAACCACCAACACTTAGGAGATTCAAAGAAAGGTTTCCAGATTTGGCTCAGGTCTGATTTATTATGGTTTTACAGTAGTCCCACAACAGCAGAGAAGGGGTTAAGGAGAACTTCTGGGCCCAGCTAGCGCCACCCTGCTATGCCTGCAGCCAGTGCCAAGCCTGGAGGGGAGTTAAAAGGAGGGATCCTGGCTCAATTCAGGCCTGATTGGCCAGGAAGGAAGATGGAGCTCTCTGCCTGAAGGGAGTTTTGCCTGCAGAGTTGCATAGAGTTTGCCTGCTAATCGGAGCAGCAGTGGGAGGAGAAGTTAAACTCTAGGGAGCGAACCACACACGAGTAAGGGACTGTTTGGCAACCAAACCCAAAGGAAAGGGCCTGGACACCCCATGGGAAGAATGGTGGATGGCCCAATGTTGCTGCACTGGGGAAGCACCCGGCCGGGGGCGCAGGGTCTGGAGGTCTGGGGGCTGCCCGGCAAACCGTGAAGTCGGTAGCGCTCGGGCAGCTGTTTCACGTGGCTGGGAGGGAGGAGGGGGAATGCGGGGCACTCAGGGAAGGGGACGGAGTTGGGGCGGGGACTTTGGGGAAGGGGCGGGGCCAGGGCCCCATGGAGTGTCCTCTTTTTTTAATGTTTAAATATGGTAACCCTACAGTGGGCCAAAGCCTGCCTCAGTGGGGTGCCTGGAAGTTCCAAAGTGGGGTGCTCCCCCAACCACACCAGTACACAAAATAAGAGTTATGGTTGCATCGTAATTTTCTGTTCTACAGGGTGTGCATCTCAGTGTCTCGCCATTTTTAAAACACTTTTTTTGTAAACATGCTGTGGAGAATTTGAACCAACGGTCAGCCACTAATTCATATGTGTATGGAATGATAATGATTTTTAGGAAATTTGAGGAAACTGGAATACTGGAAAAGCCTGATTCCTTCCCTCTCCCCCATCCCCAACCCCTCCCCCGCCCCTCCCTCCAAACACACACAGAGTACACATAAGTTTCGCCCTGCTGGTGCTTGAGCAGGAACATTATGACATCAGCCATGCATCACTCTCTCACTCCAGTTTATTTGGGTTGTCATGACAATGGCTGCCTTGGATAACTGGTTTACCTCAGACTCCTATAATATTCTTACAAAGAAGAGTCCCAGGAGGCGTTGTAAGGAAAGCAGAATGAGTTTGGATAAGCTTCTGGTGTTCCCCTTTCTGGGGAAAGTTGTACTGTTTTTTCTCTTATTGCTTGTTCCTTTCTTCAGAAAGGGTTATATGAAAATAAGATGCAAAATTCAGCTCCATTTCATATAGATTTGTTTATCTGCTTCTTATAAATTGCGGGGTGGGTATGGCTTTCTGAATGTTTACCTTTAAGAGAGTGAGAAATTGTAGCTGAGAGTCCCTAATCAGTTTTCTGGTACAATTTAGAAGTTTTAGTAAAATTGAAGTTGCATTTATAAAAAGTTATGTTTGAATACAGTTTAATTAAACTACTTTCAATGTCAACATGCTATTGAGTGGTGAAATATGGAGCTTCACAGTGATCATTGGCAATAAAAATGATAGTCTGAGGTAAATTCACTGAAGGCAACCTATGTGTAAGCGCTTTATTAATTAAATAGCACAGGTATAAAAGAATTTTTTTCTATTAAAGAACTAAGGAAATTCAAAGACAAAAAAAATCATTTAAAGTTGCTCTAATAAATAAATTAAACTACAAAAAATTAGGAAATACAAAGTTAAGGCTTAAGAACATTAAAAGTTTTCAAAGTCAAGCACTCTCAAATTAGGAAATGCCAGAATGAATGGCAAGTTGCCCAAGCAGACCCAGTTTGGCCCCTTTGTGTATATGCATTATGATATAGCCTTTAATTATATGTGGAAGTGAATACATGTGGAAAGTTTGTTATATGTGGCTTGCCCAGCATCACACAGGAACTTGTAAACCAAGCAAATTTGTTCCAGAAGTCATTACAGACAAATAGTTTCATAGGATTCCATATTTTAGAACTTGCTTTTCAGAGTAGAACCACACTTGAGGAACTGTTGAAAAGGGAGCAGATACACAAATGTATGAAAAGTTAGAAAATGGCAGGTACCCCTTTTTGCCTAATGCTTAAATTATGTTCCTGCAATTTGGTATTTCTCCTCCACCCCTGCCACATGCACATCAGTTTTATCAGCATGACCTTTTCTACTCTTTGTTTGATGGAATTGTGGATGTCATTTTTCATTAGCCCCGATCAATCTTCGGAAATATTATCTGACTATATTCAGCAGTGTACCGTGGGGAGAAAGCTGCTGATACACACCATTACGTATGAGTGTAGCAATCATGTTCCTCCTGTAAGTAATCATTCTTTGTATGTGTCTTAAAAATGACCTGTCGTTTGTTTCCTTTTAAGCTGTAGTTAAGATGTTTTGTACATTAATAGATTTACAGAAGTGTTAAATTATGTTTTCAAATATTTATTGTGGGACCTCAATCTCCAGTAGTCAGTGCTGTGAAATATTTCCCCTTTAGAAGGAAGAGGTTTAACTGAGGCTTCACCTCTGGATTAAAATGTCAATCTGTGACCAATCTGGTCACCTGTTATCAGTCTCTTCAAGCTATGTTAGTTGTTTTCCTATTCCTAAGTATAACAGCCTAGAAAAGATGACAGCATCTTAAAATTGTTTGCAGCCCTTGCTACACACAGCTAAGGGTGCTACTCTGTTTGTTTTAGAGAACTGATTAGCAACAAGAAATCCTATAAATTGGGATGCCCAAATCTTAAGTAACTTTTCTTCTCTTCATATACGTAGGCTGTTTTAAAGAACCTTGCGGAAGTTGTTGGAGGCCGTTATCACTGTTATTCTTCAAAGAGTGAGGTAGGTTTAGGCTAGAAGTACACAGAACAACTTTTTCTTTTGTTTGTTTGTTTTTGTTTGTTTATTTTCATGCAGTCACTCTTGGTGAAATAGGTTCTCGTCTTTGTAGCATTTTATAGTAAAAAGAATTGGTAACTAAGGTCTTTGTTCAGGAAAGCACTTAAGAGCTTGCTTAAAATTAAATATATACTTAAATGCTTTCAAGAATCAGGAATGCTCTCCTAAGGGTGCAGGAGTCTTCTGCAGATATTCTGCACATATAGTGGGACTAGGAACAGGGCCGTGGCTGCGGGGGGACAACACAGACAGAGGTAAGGAGGCCAAGGCTGGGGCTGCAGCTGGGTGGGGGGGTCTGGGGCCGGAGCTGGGAGCGTGCCCCCGGCCGGACCACAATGGGGGCTGGCAGCGGGGTCCAAGGCTGGGGACGGGGCCAGGGTGGAGCGGGGTTGGGTGGTGCTCCTTCCCCGCCCCATGGGGATTGTACTGGCCCTGCTGTGGCCCATGAACGTTCTTCTGTGCCACCCTAGGAGGGCACGCTCCACTGATTGGGGACCACTGCTCTAACTTCTAAGTAGCATGAAAGCTGTGGACTTTATCATTGAAGACTAATTCAAATATTCCATGTTCACTAAATAATGGGAGAAATTTCTGTACACAATTTTAATAGATACAACTACATTTACTCTGTTCTGCGAGGCAGCATCATTGGTAGTGCCCATAAAATAACTGGTAAACCAGTGTCAGAAGAGCTGGCATTTTGCTTGATGTTTTACTATGAAGCATAGAGAGACAAGGTGGATGAGGTAATATCTTTTATTGGACTGACTTCTGTTAGTGAGAGAGACAAGTTTTCAAGCCACACAGAGCTGAAGAAGAGCTCTGTGCATCTCAAAAGCTTGTCTCTCTCACCAACAGAAGGTGGTCCAATAAAAGATATTAACTCACCCATATTGTCGCTCTAAAAACTTGGGACCGACACAGCTACAACTACACTGAATACAACATAGGAATTGTAGAATCCTTTTGACCTTTTTTCCTCTTCTTGTTGCATAACAGAATTACGATAGTAGCGATGTTTATCTACTGCTTTGTGAATCCCAAAAAGCTAAGAATATTCTCAGCAGCATCAAAGAAACTTTCCAGGGAAGGATTGGTGATTCAGTTATTGGTAGAGTACAAGATGTAAGTACAGTATTCGTTTTGTTTTCAGGTAATCTTTGTATAGCACAGACATGCAGAACTCTGTATTAATTATCAGAATAGGGAAAACATACTATACTAACAGAACACAATGATAAATTTAAATGCTATTTACTGGCTGTACTTTGTAAGATCAGATAAATACTAACATGATAAGGGAAAGCTTTGAATGGATCCTCAATGGATTCATTCTAGGTACAATTATTTTGGTAAACTGAAATACTTACCAAAAAAGAGAGCAGCAGGGAAAATATTTTTTTAAACACAGGGTGTGGCCATAATGGACAGCAAAACAAATGCTGGACTACCTAAAAGCTAGCCTCGTTCATTATCTTTTATTTCCATTTCCGACCTCCCCATGTCCTTGGTGAAGTTGGGAAAAAGAACAAAGGATATTTTCCTCTGCCTTTCTCTCCTTCCATAAAGCACCTGAAGAATTTGCTGGACTGCTTTATTCAGATGGAAATGCTGCTTGATCACATCTTTCTGTTGGCTTTGACTTGCGTAGAAGAAGCTATGTTGTCTTGTATTCCACATCTTTTTCTTTGCCACATACAGTAGCCATCATATACTTGCTGGGGGCCTTACAACCTAGAAACAGCTTAATAACTCATCTGTGCTTACCAACCTTAATGTAAATGAGCTTAACAGCTCTCTTTTTTTTTAATTTAGATTCATGGAAGGTCTTGTGTTTTTTTTTTAAACGACATACGCTTTTCTGTCTCCCAGGTAAAAGGGGCAATGCTGTGCAGGTGAATGGGTCCTCTCCTCCAGGGGATTTGGAGGCAGTTAAAGAGGACTTCCACCAGGTGTCACTAGGACTTTCTCATGGACTCTAGAAATGCCTGTTTCTAAGGCAAGGGAAAACACAAGCTGATAGGAGCTTCTGCTTGCATTTCTTTCTCTAGATATGTTTAACATCTCCCAGAATAGGATTTTTGACAAAATTTAACTCCCTCCTTTGTAAGGAGATAATTCTTGAGCATTTTATAGGCATAATAAGTGTTCTGACAGCACTAGGGCACAGCAAGTGCGGTACGTATTTCTGCCAGCTCTGTAATTACCAAGTGGAAACAAACCCACACTGTAGTATCTTTGAAGGCTATGCTTCTCCAAACTAGTTCGTGTCAGTCCAGAAACTTGTTGGCCAGACAAGCTACAACAGGGAACCATCTGCATGATCTGTTCTCCATAAGTTCTAGTGTGCTCTGTAAAATTAGGATATTTATCCCTTTTTGAAAATTTATTTATATGTAACCCTTCTGCCAGGCAAAACCAGCAGCAACCAGGGCCAGGTTCAATATCTAGGGGTTCCTTTCCATCAATACAATACAGAATCAGCTTGAGCCCCCACCCAGTAACCTAGGAAAATTACACACCACCCCTGGGTGCCTCTGAGAGGCAATACTTCCCCACTCGCAAACACAGAGTCTGAGTGTAGAAAAGAAACTTTTAATAAAAGGAGGAAAGTAACTTGGCATTAATTTGGGAAAACACTGCAAACAGGGTTCACAAACATACACCATGTGCAAAAGACCCAGACCAAGTAAGTTGGGCAGTGTTCTTTTCCCCTCAGGTTCTTAAGTCCAGCAACCCAAAAGTCCCTTTAACATGCCCGTCCCTTCTCTGCACCCCTCTCACAGTTGCTGTCCTTGGTCAGTGCAGACCCAGAGTTCGAAGGTGCATCTGCACAGTTCACCTCCCACCCCAGGTGAAGGTAAGGAGGGACCTTACTTGCTCCACTGCCTGGGCACTCACCCACCGCCCCTCTCTGCCAGCCGCCCTGCTGGCCACTTGCTCTGCTTACCGCCTCACCAACCACTTGTTCGTCAGCCGACTGTCAGTCACCTTCTGCTACCACCTGCCTCTCTGCTGTAACCTCTGCAAATCAGTTTCTTAGTGATTTTCAGCTCTTTGCAGGCTGGGCAGAAACACTGCCCCATCTCAAGTGATTTCAACTCTGGGAAGAAACCCAGTCCCACCACAACTGATTTCAGCTCTGATTGAGCATTTAAAATAACAAAAGAGGCTCCTAATTAAGCCTATTTAGCTCTTTCTTTGAACAGCAGAGAGGAACAGGTCAAACCATTCTGGGGACTCCTAAGGAGAGTCTACCCACCACCTGGCTGGGACACCTGTCCCCACCCCTCTGACTTTCACAGGGTTCCAGCATTCGAGCCCCTGGCTGGGGGTGACCCCTCTCATTTGGGACAGGTTAAGCATTGTGTATTCCTACAATAATTACAACATTGGTAGCAGCATTTCACTACCCCTGCATTCAGTAATAACGTGATTTGTAACCCCACACCAGCCAAAGTTGATTACTTTGAGCAAAACACCACTCTAATTGCTGGATATCTCATCAGAGCAGGAGCAAACTGTATTCACATACACACACAAACTCTCTCCCCCTCCCAGCTAGCTGACAGGGAAGCACTCATTCAGACCCTTCTTTACATCTCTCTCTCTCTCTCTCTCTCTTTATATTGCAGATAACACCTAGGAGTCCCTATCCTGGATCAGGGCCCCATTGAGGCTGTTGAGCTTAAACTGACAGCTGAATATCCACAAGGAGATGTTAGAAAGACAGGCTGAGATTTTAATTTGGATAGAAGAAGACAGTAGAAAGGTAGATCTGTGTTTGTTCAGCATTGAGATCATAGTTGCAGAGGTGTTTTATTAATGTGATTACCCAGAGATAAATTGGAGAGGGAGATGAGTAAGGGGACCCAGGACAGAGCCCTTTAGGACCCCACAGAAAGTTGGAGGGGAAGGATGAGGAGGATTCTCCAGATGAGACACTGAAAAAGCAATTAAAGAGGTAGGAGGAGAACCAGGAGAGGACGGAGTCAAAAAGGCTGAAGGAGGATAAAACTTCAAGAGCAAAAAGCATGGGTTGAAGTCAGCTGGCGGGTTGAGGAGGATGAATATGAAGTATTTGTCTTGAGGTTTGGCCCAGAAGAGGTCACTAGAGACTTTGTTGAGAGACTGATCAGAGGAGTGCAAGGGGCACTAGCCAGACTGGAGAGGATCCAGGATGGAGTTAGAGGAGAGGAACTCTAGGAAGAAGTTGTAGACAATGCATTCAGTGAGCTTAGAAATGGAAAAGAGAAGGAGGGCTAGTTGGAGAGGCAAGTGGGGTTAAGGGAGGTTGATGAGAGAAAATACATATTTCTGGTGCAAAGGGAATAAACTTAACCTAAATTAAACCTAAAGCCTACTTCTTTTCCGTAGTATAAATAAATGCATGGAGACTCGGTTTAAGTGAAATGATGTACTTTGTTTGCAAGAAAGTATTATCTGGGTGTGTTTTTTAACCACAACCATTTCTGTTTGACCAAAGAGTGTCAGATGTAGCAGTAGTGGAAACGCATCTCAGCGTAGTTGAGAGGAAATCCCTGGTCAGCAGCCAGAGGAGAAGATAATGTTGAGAAATTTAACTGTAATTTTGTTTCAGTTTTTATAAACAGTAATATTTTAATAAGCATACTGGGGCAAAACTCTGTCCCATGGAGAACAAATCCAAATGGCTCCTTATTGTTGTAGGATTGGCCAGCAGGCACACTGGTCCTTCGACTGACATCTGGTCTATTTTGAAGAAGCATGACTTTCTACACTACTGCACAGTGAGGGGCACCACTTCTGCTCCTTTTATGTATTTTGTACAGCCCTTGATAGTTATGGAGTTGTTAAGAACATGTAGAACAGTTTTTGAGCCCTAGTGCTGCAGTAATAATGTGCAATCCCATTGAAGTACACAGGTTTGCAATGTGCCTAGCACAATGTATGCAGTGGAATGCTGTACTCCAAAAGCTATTTTAAAAGGGATTATTGGAAATGTTATCTATGTTCAAAATATTTTACAGCATTCTGTCAGTTTTTAGTTAGCTGTGCAACTGGTACTTCACATTTTAGCATATGTAAAACTGATATGGCAAAATTATCTGGATACATTGGAGAATTGGTCTCAAATCAACAAGATTAAATTCAATAAAGAGAAGTGCTACGTTTAGGAAGGAAAAGTCGATACACAAATACAAACTGGGGAAAAAACTGGCTTGGCATTAGTATTGCTGAAAAGGATCTGGGGGTTATAGTGGATCACAAATTGACCATGAGCCAGCAATGTGATACAGTTGTGAAAAAGGCTGTTATTATTCTGGAGTCTATTAACAGGAGCATTGTGTGTAAGACCCAAGAGGTAAATGCACCACTTGTACTCTGCACTGGTGAGGCCTTAGCTGGAGTATTGTGTCCAATTTTGGGCACCACACTTTAAGAAAGATGTGGACAAATTGAAGAGAGTCCACAGAAGGGCAACAAAAATAATAAAAGTTAGTTTAAAGTGCAGCAAAGGAGATTTAGGTTAGATATTAGGAAAAGCTTTCTCACTATAAGCATAATTAAGTACTGGAACTGGTTATCAACAGAGGTTGTAGAATCTTCATCACTGGAGGTTTTTAAGAACAGGTTAGAGAAACATCTGTCAGGGATGGTTTAAGTATATTTGGTCCTGCCTTAGTGCAGGGGACTTGGACTAGATGACCTCGCAAGGTCCCTTCCACCCCTACATTTCTATGCTTCTATGTTTTAAAATTGAGAAAATAAATACTGATATTTACATAAAGCATTTTTTAAATCTCTTTAGATTTCCAAAGAATTTACCAAGTTGATGCCTGCTAGTTTCCTACCCAAGCCTCCGAAGCATGAAGAACCTCTTGTTATACAAATGCCAAGCTTCCTGGCCAAAACCTCAGCAGCCTGGTTAAAGACAAATGGATTGAAAGGTATTGCATATAAAAGAGCTTAATATGGTATGAAGCATGGATTACAAAATAAGTGTATATTTCATTTAGCATTTTCCTTGCTTGCTATAGCCAAGAAGTTAAGCCTTTATCAAGTTTTGGCTCCTAATGCTTTTTCACCTGTGGAAGAATTTGTGCCTATTCTTCAGAAAACAGTGTCATCAACTCTGCATGAGGTAAATAATTGGAACCTATTCCTCCTCCTCCATATTCCTTTATCTATTACACAAGATAGTGATGACTCATTTTAATGTATGTTCGCTTTCACAAAGCTGCATCGCTTTCCTCTCTGGAGCCCACTTTATTAATCAAGTGCTCTTTGCTTTTTAAATGTCCTTAGGTAAAACCATTGACTGAAAAGTCAGCCTGATGTCTAAGCTATGTTTGTAATTCTTCAAAGAAATATTTAAAATGTTTCTACAGTATTGCTGTGCCGATGCACTGTTTCATGGGCAATTTAGATAAGTAACCACAGTATACTGATTGAAAGTTTCAAAGCAGCCAGATATTATTCACACGTGTGGTAATTTTCCAAACCTCAGACAGTGCATTGCGGGAAGAGTTAAGGCAGCTGGCTGAACTAGTGCAATTGCAAGGTTTGTAGCTTCCTGTGCAGACTACGAGTAAATAATTGTAGACTGCACTGGTTCACCCGGATCTGAGCTAAAGACCTCATCCAGGGTGTTGCAACCAACACTTTCATAAAGTGCTTGGTAGACTGTTTTTGTGGAGACAAGTTATTATTCGTGTGTTGCAAACACTGTGTTCCAAACAACATCTTTCCAAGATGGCCTCCGCGTATTCTCATTGTTGGGAAACATGACCTTAGCACTATCTACCTTTTCCAGCATTGTGACTATACAGAGCCAATGCCCCTCAACTATAGTTAATGTTACCTGGAAGCTCTCTTTGCAATATGGGTCAGTCAGTTGTTCCAGCTATATGTGAGAGAGAAGAGCAGACATCTAAGACCATGACTCCGAACCTATTGTTGCGAATTATATCTATAGGTCACGTGCAGTTCGAGTCTAGGCTGAGGCACAAGAACCAAGTCCACAACTGCAGAGAATTACAGAGATAACAGGTTTATTACACTCGAGTGTGGTGCCCCCCTGCTAGTCAGGAGGGGACTCAGAATGCAGGTTACACAGAGATTATATACTTTTTAGCAAAACATGCTGTCCTCGTGCATCGTAAGTCATAGCCAATAAACAAACTTTTCCCTTATCTCCACCTATCCCCTCTAGGCATGCTGCCTAATGCTGCAGCTGCTTAGGCATGCGGCTAGCTTGTTTCTCAACTGCTGCCCTTATCTTCTTGTGTCCAAATGCCTCCCCTTCTCCCTCCTAGTACATGGAATGCTTGCTTCTAACTAATAGTGGGCCTGAAACACAAAATGGAGTTCCATATGCTGTTTTCCCTTAACACTATCACCATCCCCAGTATAATCTAAGAGGAAGTCAAAGAGTTATTATACATCTGACCTGCGCCTCGGTTCTACTCTATCACAAGAGATGCACTTTTCAGCCCTGGCACTACCATTTGAGCTCAGTTGACAACCCTCCTATATCAATACTGACTACAGTGGTTCAGTCAGTTCCAGAAACCTTGGTACCACATAGAGAAACGAGAGCTACATCGATCCCCATAGTATTAGAGCCCTCAATACCGCCTCCTTCAGAGCAATCAACCTCTGCTCTGGCTACATTTGCAACATCTGGATTAACTGTTGCACTGGAACTGGAACCTAACCTTCCAAACACGACACCATTACCAACAACTACAAAGCCTCTGTCAGTACCTGGGGTACTGATAAGGAAGATTTAACTTCGTCCAGCCTCATCAGCACCCAATATCTAGATCTCAGGGAGAATTGTCTAGAACCCCCCAAAGTTCTTCAGAAATCAGCTTTTCTCTAGAGGAAGTTTATTCTTCTGAATCTTTTTCATTAGCTTATAGCAGAAGTTCTTCTTTCATAGCAGATACTCCCAGCCTGAGTAAATCCATGAGCGGGAATCAAAAAGGGTCACATCATCTTGCTGTGAGAGACATAGATCGGGCAAAGTGCAGATTCCCTGGATTCCTCCACCATGATCTCATATGCCATATCCTTATGGTATGCCTTCTTGGTCTTATGAAATCCTCAACCTCGTTATTTAGGACCATATTTTTTGAGCACGCCTCCACACCTCATCCAGGAATAGATGGCCTCCTACAGTTGAGCCTCCCAAATCAATGCAACAGTCTCAACAGCATGGTCTTTGTGATTCCAGACAGGATGTACAGAGTACTGATCATCATCATCTGGAGGAACGTGTGACCCCTTCTGCATCTTTGGCAATTATTTCGTCCTCCCCAGAGGAAGCAGTTAATCCTTCATTACCAGCTAAAGCTGACAGTTTTTTATGACACTCCTGTTAATACACCCCAGTATGATATTATCCTCTTTCGCAACTGCATCACATTGTTGACTCATTCAGCTTGTGATCCATTATAACCCACAGAACCTTTTCAGCAGTACTACCACCGAGCCAGTTACTCTCCATTTTATAGTTGTGCATTTGATTTTTTTTCTTCCTATGTGAAGTATTTTTTCACTTGTCATTATTGAATTTTATCTTATTGAATTCAGACCATTCTCCAATTTGTCATGGTCATTTTGGATTCTAATCCTGTCCTCCTCAGTGCTTGCAACCCCTCCCAGCTTGCAGTGTTTCTACTAGGCCGTCTGAGTGCCCAGGGTAGTTTATCAGCATATAAGAAGGGCACACTAATGTTTTGTAGTTCTCCTGTATTCGATAAGCTTCTTTGTCATTGTCTGTTAGCCCTCCTGGTTACAGCAGAGGGCTGAGGGTAGAGGTAGGGCATTTTCAGTGAGGGGAAATCAGCTCTGAAACTTCTGTTGGGCTGCCAGAAACTATTTTTTTAATTGTGTTTTACAATCTGATGACACTGTAAAACTTATTCTCCAAAGTGGGATTTTGGGGGGTGGTTGTTTTTTTGAGGGGGAAAGGTTGTTTGATTGGTTTGATACGGGTTTTTTGGGGGGGGTGGAGGAAGGGGTTGTCTCCTTGGGTGAATATAATCAGAATATGTATCCAAATCTCTTTATTATTTTCATATTACCTGAAGTCGTCATACACTGATGGAAAAATGAGGTAAAGTATTTGTTTTCAATTGTGTAGCATTGCTGCCACAGAGAGCAGTATTCCTAGTTGTATGACCCTAAATAACTTCTCTGGACTGGCCTTGTGAGATTCTAAATACTTTCAGCTTCCTTGAACTTCACTGGAGTTGCGAATACTCTTGCAGGAGTACCTTGCAGCACTGGCCCCAAATAAATAACTTTTTAAAAAAAATATAATGCCTCATTGTATGGCCGGCTCAGAAAGCTTTCATCCTGTATAGAACATCCAGTCCAAAGAGGTTGTCTGATAGATTTTTATCTGAAAAAGTAGTATTTATTTGAAAGTGTGATGCCTAATCAGTGCAGGTTTAGATATCCTTCTGTGTTCTGCCTCTTAGGCTCACGGAACCAATTTCAGCCCTGATGTAAGCAGGTGAAACTCCATAGACTTTGAGTTTTCTTACATTTATGGATTTAAATCAGACATATAATGTCATTAACTATCGTCTGTGTATTTCTTCATTAATAAACTCAATGGAAAGAATGTTATGTTTATGTAACTTACAACATACATGTTGCTTTAAACAGCTGAGTGTTTTCTCATCCTTTCAGAAAGCAATGATGCAGTTTGAATGGCATGATGGGACTGTGAAAAATGTTCACGTGGACCCACCAATATTATATGACTATCAGGTGAGTTATTAATATTTGTCTAGTTGGTCCTGCTATCCAGTACTACATGCACACCTAGTTATTCCATCTCAGTCATTATCCTGCTCTGAGAAAAGGCCAGCAACAGAGAGGATTCACAGGCACAGTGGGTTACAAAACGAGATGCTTACAGCTGTCATTACTGTATCTGCAGCATACAGGAGCCAGTAACCTGGTTGGATATATGAACAGATTCATCTAACAATGAAAAATTCTAAACAAGAGGAATAGGTCTGTCAGGAGCACTGCTGGACTAGTGCCAAACATGCTTTGTTGTCCAGCAGCAAGTTATTTTGAACATGTAGTAATTATTCCATTCTATTCTGGTTTTACAGTATTAAAAGCAGTAACTCCCAAACCCACCCTAATACAATCCTCTCCTATAATTTCATACCTTAATTACGAGTATGTCCCCATTCTATTCAGTCTGAGAAGTAAACAAGTCCAATAAAGCAGAATGCCTAGCAGTCATTGGTCAGACAAAAAAATAAAACTAGGGCATATATTGGGCGTTTTAGCAAGCAAAGCACTCACAAAGCTCCAACAACTGCTCTGTGATATGGCTGCAGTCTATGGCAGTAAGACAGAGCACCCTGCTACCATGGCAGGCCCAGACAGTTCACATGCAGAAAGAAGAGACAGGCAAAGAATTCTGAGGTCAAGAATTTGATTCCAGGGCTTCATAAAGCATAGATTAAACAGAAATTGTTGCCCTGCAAAACAGTGCATTGTATAAAGAGCTTCCTCCATGACCATCACCAATGAAGTGACTCTGCCGGGGTTTTCCAACTGAGCAACAGATGATGCACAACACCTGGGGGGAGGAGACTGAGGAGAGTGGTGAAAAACTAATAATACCAGATCAGTGTAGGACACTGAGGGCAACCTGTGGCAGCTTGGAAGCAGAAAGTGACAGAAACATGACAGTCTATATCAAGAGGAAATTTGCAGGAATAAAAAGCGGATGATATGAGTTGTGATGCCACATGGGTCTAGATTTAGAACACCAAATCACTGCTTATTTCTACAACATGGGCTCTGTTCTGAATATGTTTCCACAGCATCCAGCACTGCTGAAATATTTTGGGGTGAGGGATAGCTAAGTGGTTTGAGCATTGGCCTACTAAACCCAGGGTTGTGAGTTCAATTCTTGAGGGGGCCGCTTATGGATCTGGGGCAAAATCAGTACTTGGTCCTGCTAGTGAAGGCAGGGGGCTGGACTCAATGACCTTTCATGGTCCCTTCCAGTTCTAGGAGATAGGATATCTCCATTAATTTTTTGGAGGTTTTTTTTGTTTTTATTTTTGTTTTGTTTTTTTGTTTCAGGTGTACTGCTGTTACACCTAAAAAGAAGCAGTATTGTCAGGTGATAGGAGATTAGACAGACAGGAGTCAGGAGACATAGGCAAAATTCAAAATATAGTCTGATTTGCCATGTGACCTGAAAATTACTTACCCTTTCTGTGCCTCAGTTTCTCCATCAATTAATCAGGGTAATTCTTACCTACCATTGTGAAGTGGTGTGAGATTAATGAATGAAAAGTTCTGTATAAGTGCTTAGTGTTAATAATCATCAAAGGGCCATCATAGAAATGTTCACTTTATAGTCCTTAGTAGCTCTGCATATCATATTTGTGAGTCGCATTTTAGCTTCAGGTTTGGATGATCATTCCCACAATAGCCTTTCCATATGTTTGGATGAAATGTAATTTATGTAGCCATAAATGCTAGGGCTCACCTCTGAGCAATGTAGCCAGACCTGTTAAAGAATAGAAAACAGGGAACTCTTGTCTCCTGACTATACATCTTCCCCCCGCCCCCTTCCATATATGCACCAGTTTGCCTTGTATGTGCAATTCAGGGTACTGTGTAATTCAGGTTTTAGAATGCCCTAAGGTCTTATCTACTCTAGAAATTTTGAACAGGAAAAGTGTTGCCAGCATAGTGCAATTATTTCAGCAGAGTTCATTCACGCTTTGTTTGTACTGGTCCATCATGTCCATAGAGCATCAGGTTAGACCAGCAAAAGGTATGTTGTACTGTGGATAAGTATTCCAGTGTCCTCCATGCTGCCTTCAGGAACACTGCCTCATGGGAAATTGTCACTGTGCATTATGAGGTAGCTGCTGTATATTGTGGGATACCTCATTCCTCTCAGGAAATTTTGGGAATTTGGGTTAAATGCACACAATTTGTTCTGTTCCACCACATAATCTACCACTCTCGTGCACCATTTTCAAACTCATAACAACATGGATGCGGTACAGAGAAGAAACTTTGTTGTATTTTCAAGGCTGCACCACTCAGGCTCAGCCGAAGATGAGTGGACAGTGAATGTAGTGGCTAGGCTATTACAGCCGTTCATACAACTGCCTGGGGTGCTCCCATTCAGTGAGTACCAAGTGGCACAATTGGAATGTCATGCGAACCTAAGTCAACCAGCACTGGGGTCCAGAACTTTCAGATGCAGAACTCCACATCCCTGCAGTTATGTGCTGAGCTCACCCGAGTCCTGCAGCACAGAAATACCAAGACGAGAGTTGCCCTTACAAGATGGAAATGAATGGCAATCACCATATGGAAACTTGCAACCCTGGAATGCTGTCAAGCAGTGAGGAATCAGCTTGGCATTGGAAAATCAACAATGAAGGCAGTCATAATTGAGGTATGCAAAGCAATAAAGCATGTCCTGCTATACAGGACAATAAGGCAAGGCAACATGCAGGAAATAATAGATGGATTCAACAACATGGGCTTCCTTAATTGCTGAGACAGTAGACTACGCATGTCCCCATTCTGTGCCCTCCCGACCACCAGCCTCCAAGTAAATAAAATGGATGTATCTTGATGGTTTTGTAGTTTGGTGGATCACCAAGAATTGATGTACTGATAACACAAAGTTGACTGGTCTGGAAAAATCCATGACACCTGAATTTTTAGAAATACATGACTTTTTGACAAACGGAAAGCTGGGACACTTTTTCCAGACATCCAATTGACATTAACAGAGTTTCTATGCCAATTGTGATTCTTAGTGACTCTACTTTGCTTCCCTGGTTTATGAAACCAAACACCAGCAACTTGGACATAAGTAAGGGAAGGTTTAATTATCCCCTATGCAGCTACAGAATGAATGTGAGTGTGTCTTTGGAAGACTGAAGGGCAGGTATTTCATGGCAAGACTCAAATTCAGCAAGGAAAATTTTCCTGCAGTTATTGCTGCATGCAGCAGATTGCATAACATCTGTGAGACCAAGGGTGAGACCCTAATGCCAGGGTAGATGAAGTGAGGTGGACAGACAGGCTGTCGGCTAAAATCAAACAGTCTGAAAGTAAACCAGTTAATAGTGCCACCATTATCACTGTGTGGCTGAAGGAAGCTTAAGAGGGTCCTCTGGCGGTGGATAGTAGCCTGACATTGTCTCATGGAATATGTACACTGACTGAGCCAGTCTTTGGATAATAAGCATGAATATGACTTGTATTAGAAATGTTAATGAGGATTGCATAAAGGCAATTTTTTTTGTAGTGCACGTGAATTATTAGCGTTAATAGCTTATTGAAATTTTTTATTGTGGTATAGAAGCCTTTCTGGTTATATGAAGTACTTTCTGCCATCTCAGACAGCTCTGTAATGCCAAAAAACACAATAAATGTGTGCAGTAACTTTCAACAACCTTGAACTCTATTTAAAACACAGTAAGAAGTGCCTCACAAACAACTTTGAATTTACTAACCACACACCATAAACTATATACAAAGAAGTTTCAAATGCAGACTGGATGTCTTGCATCACAGATTGCAGTATGACTAGTCAAAACATTTCTCTTTATTCCCTATGCTGTTTGTCTATTGGAATTGAGTGTAATGGGAACTACTGCAAGAAGGGTGGGTGATTCAGAGGTGGAGAGGTGTATGATCCTTACCAGGAGCCAATATTATTCATGCTTTAGAGTGGGTGGAACTGCTGCAATGTTATCCTTGATATATTCACTGTTCAACAGTGGTGTCTGCTGCTTCAGTAGCAGCAGCATGTTTTCTGTTCCTCTGTCTTTCCATGTCTCCTCCAGCAGATTTCACACCACTCCCTAGCATTCCTCACATTTGCCTTGATCTCCTGAATAATCTCTGAAAATGTGTCCTCCTTTTTGTGTGTGTGAGGGGGGAGGGTTAGGATCTGATAGTTACCAGATGTTCTGCAGGTGTTGAAGTTCCCCCCACAAAGGTCACTGATAAACAGATTAAACAAATAGCAGTTGTTAGGTTTGAGGATTTAGCATTCTATGGTAGGTAACTACGCCAGCTACTCAGATTCTCCTATTTTGGGCAGTATACATTTGAGGTTAGCATCAGAATTATATGGGGATTGTAAGCATTTTAGACCATACAGGATGGTGAGTTTGTGGGGGGTACTTAACCAGGTCCCTTAAATAGGGATGGGGCAGGACATGAGATACATATAAGAATAGTATAGTAAAGACTGCTGAATGAATTTCGGCAGTTGTGAATCCTTGAGGATTTATCCATCAGACGGATAGTAAAGTGGCAGAGAAGGGAGGTGTGTAAGAGGCCCAGAGGCTGCCTGGGAGTGTATGCCGCCAAGTTTGTTTTTCCCAGTGATCCACTCACAGAAGTAGTGCCGGAGCGGGAAGGGAATATGCCATACCATGGTGGTCCAACCAAGGCAACTCGGCCTGACAATAACAGGGGAAAGATTAAATACCACTTGCTAATACAATGTTCTGTAAAATTGTGGCAGCATCCCAAATCTGTGTGGGTAAAGATTAACCAGCTATTCTGCCAGCAGCCCAAGGAACTGTAACTGTCAGTTGGGGGTGTGCAAGTTCTGGCATGTCAAGTATAAAAACACAATAAAGCAAGCCAAAATATATATATATTTGCTATTAGCTTTTTGAGTCTTTTGCTAGATGCTCTCCAAATTCTTTTTTGGCTTGCTTTATTGTGTTTTTATATATATATAAAGCAGAAAGTACCAAAAAAATCAGTGGGGCCACTGGATGATCAAGGTGGTAAAGGTGCACTCAAGGAAGACAAGGCTGTTGTGGAGAAGCTAAATTAATTCTTTGCATCAGTCTTCACTACAGAGGATGTAAGTGAGATTCCCACACCTGAGCCATTCTTTTTAGAAGGCAAATCTGAGGAACTGTCCGAGATTGAGGTGTCGGGAGAGGAGGATTTGGAACAAATGGATAAACTAAACAGTAATAAGTCACCAGGACCAGCTGGTAATCACCCAAGAGTTGTGAATGAGCTCAGATATGAAATTGCATAACTACTGTATGTGGTATGTAACCTATAACTTAAATCAGCCTCTGTACCAGATGACTGGCAGATAGCTAAAGTAACGCCAATATTTTTAAACATTTCAGAGGCAGTCCTGGCAATTACAGGCTCATAAGCCTGACTTCAGTACCAGGCAAATAGGTAGAAACTGTAGTAAAGAATAGAATCATCAGACACACAGATGAACAGGATATGTTGGAGAAGATTCAACAGGGCTTTTGAAAAGGGAAATTATGCATTACCAATCTATTGGAATTCTTTGAGAGGATCAACAAATATGTGGATATAGTGTACTGGGACTTTCAGAAAAGCCCTCACTAAATGTTCTTAAGCAAAGTAAGCAGTCATGTGATAAGAGGGAAGTTCCTTTCATGGATCAATAACTGGTTAAAAGATAGGAAGCAAAAGGAGGAATAAATGGTCAGTTTTCACAGTGTATTGAGATAAATAGTGGGGTCCCCCAATAATCTGTACTGGGACCAGTGCTATTCAACATATTCATAAATGATCTGGAAAAGGGAGTAAACAGTGAAGTGGAAAAGTTTGCAGATGATCCAAAATTACTCAAGATAGTTAAGTCCAAAGCAGACTGCAGAGAGTTACAAAGGGATCTCACAAAACTGAGTGACTAGGCAAGAAAATGACAGATGAAATTCAGTGTGGATAAATGCAAAGTAATCATAGAATGATAAAACTGGAAGGGACCTCGAGAGGTCATAGAACTGGAAAGGACCTCGAGTCCCTTGCACTCAAGGCAGGACTAAGTGTTATCTAGACCAGTGGTTCTCAAAGCTGGTCCACCGCTTGTTCAGGGAAAGCCCCTGGCGGGCCGGGCTGGTTTGTTTATCTGCCGCGTGCGCAGGTTCGGCTGATCGCGGCTCCCACTGGCCGCGATTCGCCACTCCAGGTCAATGGGGGCTGCGGGAAGCGGTGCGGGCCGAGGGATGTGCTGGCCGCCCTTCCCGCAACCCCCATTGGCCTGGAGTGGCGAACCTTTCCTCCATAGAAATTCAAAGACCTAAATGCCAGTGTCCCTCCCTATGATTAAAATCAAGTATTTTATATACTGTGGAACAGCTTCGCTTCTAATGAGGAAGTTTTAAAGACTATGCAGTTATAGCCAAAATGATTGAAATGTGATTGCATCAAGTGACATTAACAGATGAGGAACTAAAATGCACAAAGGGCAATTATGAGCAAGCTAAACTATCACCTGACATTCCTGTGGTCAGTGGAGATTCTGAGAGTCAGAGAACCATGGAGCCCTTTTAGTTTCTTCATCATTTTCTGTGTATCTTATTTGCAGATGTTTTAACAGAATACATGAACTGTAAGGGTACTGGAAACTTTATCTAATTTACCATAACTGATCATTTCCATCAGTTTAAATACTTAGATTTTATTAACTATAAAATGTGTATAGTTTGTAATAGTCAATTATCCTATTTTTAGGTCAACAAATATTTGGAAATACAGATTTAGTCTGAAATAGAAACATGTTAATTTAGATTATTTTAAAAATCACCATTCATCAGTTGTCTATATTTTGTTCACAGAAACAGCTTGATAGAATGGTGAGAACGTATGAGAGGCGAATAGACTGGCTTTCTATCGCTAGTAGAAGAATATGGGGAACTGTTTGTGAACGGAGGTATTAATATTGGGTATTCTGGGTCCCTGTTGCAGAAGTGGCATCCTAATTTGGCAGTGTTAACTTTGTGCCTGTAAATAAGCATAGAGACACAGTACAGAAAATGTACACTCCTAAATGCATCATTTGCAGATAAGTGATGTGTGCATGCAATTTAAGTATCCATTTTTGAAAATTAATATTGTACTGTTCAGCATGCAGGTATATCTTTTTATTATTGATAATGAGGTGTTAATTGGACCATAAAGACACTAAAGTTCAAATATACCAGAAAAGAATCCATAGCTTCAATGAGACCAGTTAAAATACACATTTACATTTGAGGTACCTAGGAAATGACCCTTTGGGAAATGTTCAGTCTTAAATCCCATGTAAACAGAGCCTGATATCTATGGCCATAAAGGCTAAAACATTAAAACCCTTCCTGCAAACCATGTTGGGCCATCTGTACTTAGTGTTAAAGCTTCCTATTGTGAAGGCTCAGACACCAAATCTTCCACCCTGCCCCACTCATACACTTAATCCTTTTTTCCCCCAAGAATGTATATGGAGTTATGAACCACAGTTAAAATGGTGGGAGACCACTCTTCTCACCTTTTGAGCTGTATTGCATGGGTCCAGGTCCAGCATTAGGGTTAAACAAAACACACTCAGTGTGGAATAAGTAAGGGCCCAATCCTGGAAACACTTACAGGGACTATTCATGTGATTAAAGTTAGGCATGTGCATTATTGTTTGCTGGATTGGGACAATAATATGGCTCAATCTCATTATGTTAGATAGTGATTATTTAAAATCAAACAGTCACTGACTAACACAATGCTATAGATCAGTGATACTCAGACTGAGATTCCCAAGCCGCAAATGACTCTTTAATATGTCTCCTGTGGCTCTTTGCAGCACATGATATTAAAACACTGTGATTTAATTATTAACCAATCACAATGTTTTTACTATGTTATTAACCAATGGTAGTGGATAAAATAATAATATTTGGTCAGTCATTTTGCTGTGAGAATTATTCCGTGTGTGTGTGTTTGTGTGTGTGTGTGTGTAAGGGCTGTCGATTAATCGCAGTTAACTTGCAATTAACTAAAAAAATTAATTGTGATTTAAAAAAATCTCACGAAAGCTTATGCCCAAATAAATCTTTAAGGTGCCACCAGACTCCTTGTTGTTTTTGTAGATACAGACTAACACGGCTACCCCCCTGATACTTGATGATTAATCACACTGTTAAACAATAGAATACCAATTGAAATTTATTAAATATTTTGGATGTTTTCTACATTTTCAAATATATTGATTTTTATTACAACACAGAATACATGTACAGTGCTCACTTTATATTATTTTTTATTACAAATATTTGCACTGTAAAAATGATAAACAAAAGAAATAGTATTTTTCAATTCACCTCATACAAGTACTGTAGTGCGATCTCTTTATTGGGAAAGTGCAACTTACAAATGTAGATTTTTTTTATTGTTACATAACTGCACTCAAAAATAAAACAGTGTAAAACTTTAGGCCCTATAAGTCCATTCAGTCTTACTTCTTGTTCAGCCAATCGCTCAGACAAACAAGTTTGTTTACATTTACAGGAAATAATGCTGCCCGCTTGCTTACAATGACACCTGAAAGTGAGAACAGGCGTTCGCATGGCACTTTTGTAGCCGGCATTGCAAGATCTTTACATGCCAGATATGCTAAACATTCGTATACCCCTTCATGCTTCTGCTACCATTCCAGAGGACATGCTTCCATGCTGATGATTCTCGTTAAAAAAATAATGTATTAATTAAATTTGTGACTAAACTCCTTGGAGGAGAATTGTATGTCTCCTTTTCTGTTTTACCCACATTCTGCCATATATTTCATGTTATAGCAGTCTCTGATGATGACCCAGCACATGTTGTTCGTTTTAAGAACACTTTCACTGCAGATCCGATAAAATGCAAAGAAAGTACCAATGTGAGATTTCTAAATATAGCTACAGCACTTGACCCAAGGTTTAAGAATCTAAAGTGCCTTCCAAAATCTAAGGGGGACGAGGTGTGGAGAATGCTTTCAAATGTCTTAAAAGAGCAACACTCCGATGCGGAAACTACAGAACCCGAACCACCAAAAAAGAAAATCAACCTTCTGCTGGTGGCATCTGACTCAGATGATGAAAAGGAACATGCGTCGGTCCACACTGCTTTGGAGGTTATCGAGCAGAACCTGTTTTCAGCCTGGACACATGTCCTCTGAAATGGTGGTTGAAGCATGAAGGGACATATGAAACTTTAGTGTATCTGACACATAAATATCTTGCAACGCTGGCTACAACAAAACAATGTAAAACTTTAGCGCCTACATGTCGACTCAGTCCTACTTCTTGTTCAGCCAATTGCTAAGAGAAACAAGTTTGTTTACGTTTACAGGAGATAATGATGCCCGCTTCTTATTTACAGTCACCTGAAAGTGAGAACAGGCATTCGCATGTTTTGTTTTTGTTATGTAACAAAAAAAATCGACATTTGTAAGTTGCACTATCCTAAAGAGATCGCACTACAGTACTTGTCTGAGGTGAATTGAAAAATACTTTTCTTTATCTTTTTTACAGTGCAAATATTTGTAATCAAAAATAATATAAAGTGAGCACTGTACACTTTGTATTCTGTGTTGTAAGTGAAATCAATATATTTGAAAATGTAGAAAAACATCAAAATATATTTATAATAAATTTCAGTTGGTATTCTGTTATTGTTCAACAGTGCGATTAAAACTGCGATTAAGCACGATAAATTTTTTTACTCGTTTGACAGCCCTATTAGTCACGTCAATTGTCCCTGTGTTTCCAGGATGCGGCCCTTGCTTATTCCATACTAAGCGTGTTTTGTTTTACCCTAATACTGCGGGGGTGGGGGGGGAAGAGATCTATTACTTCTTAGATTTTAAGGCCAAAACTTGAACAATAATTAATTCAGTAGTGATTAAAATATCTAAACAGAGAGACAGAAATATTGTCTGTGATTTGGGTCTTTATTAATTAAGGCATGTGTTCCTTGTTTAGGGTTGTTATACTTGTTGATATCTCAGTAACAAATTCCTTGTACATCATTCATATCCAACATTCCCTGCGACTTTTACTTGAAGAACAAATGTCAAACAAGGATTTCTTCAATATTATAGCGTAAGTAGCTGATCAAAAATATTTTTCTTTAAACGATTACCTATAACACATTGTGGGCAAGCAGTACACTGGTAGCTAAATAGAAAAATGACATGAAAGGTGCCTAACTAGCTATTGAAGATTGTCAATGTCTTTTCTGATTTAGATGATATTTTACAGTCTTTTTGTGATTGAATAATTACAAGAATAGCCTATGAAAGCCACCCTAATTTGCCCTTATCATTTTAAATAGTTGAAATATACAGTGGCCAGTCTGATAATTAAGGATCATAATCTACTTTATGATGTTTATGCTGCATGATTTTGCACATTTCAAATAACAGATACTGTGCATATTATAGTATTGAGAACAGTTGCAAAATTCAAGTGTCAAAAACGTCACATTTTAAAAAATAATTGGGTTTCTCAGGTCCCTCCACTGCAAAATCCCTCTTGCAATTTACAAGAGTCATAAATACAATAGTGTATGAACTCTGAATAGTATTTTTCCTAGCATACAACAATGCTAAAATTCCTTAATACACAGGTAGGTGTGAAATGTTCCATGGTTTGAAACAGAAACTGATATCAGATGACAAACATCTGTAATGCTAGATTTTATCTAGGGAATTTACATTGTACCCTTGTGAGCTATAATTTGAAAATGTAACTGCTGTTTTGTTTCCTCCAAAGATTTGGAAGTGACATCAAGTCTTGGAAACCAGAAATGGTTCCTTCAAATCCAGAAAATTTACAAAGTGCCTGGAGGTATAATCAAATTATAACTTGCTTATATTTATGAATTTAGTGAAAGTACTTATCCTAGAACAAATGTAGCATAGAACCAGGTTTAACCAGAGAAGTGAACAATTTTGCAGATTTAAAAAGTTTAATATGGTGTGCTGTACTATAGTTTGTGTAGTTCTACTCTGAAAAATGACTTGTGAAAACAGCGTGATAGCATTTAATATTTAGTGTGTTGAAATTATTTCCATATCATATGTGCTCCATTTAGAAGTGTACAGGTATTTTTTAAAATAACTGCCAAACCTTCATATTCAACCTGAGAACTGAAAGTCAATCTGGATTCTTTCTTTCCTATATACCGGCACCACTCTGCATGCCAAATTATGCCCTTGTTGACCCTATGCAGTCCCATTGTCTTCAGAAGATCTGCACAGATGTAACTGAATGAAATTTAGTAAACAGTTCTGTTGATGCATGAGTGTAGAATTATGAGTTAACATGGAATCTCATATTACAGCTTTCCTATATAATGTGCATTAATAATCCTTCTGCCTTAAGACTGTGCCTTGACCCTTTTCAGAGTGGCTAGTTTGCTGCTGTGGCTGCAGTATAAAAATTAGGCCAGTCCACTTGGGCCATTGTATCATCGGGCTGTGCTGAGTGTCATAATTCAAAAGCTATTTCTATATTCCAGTGCATCACCATGAGATTTTAGTTTGAGACAGTGGGTTTAGTGACTTTTATTGCTTCTCTGCTTTCTTATTATTAGTAAAACTCTCTTTCTAGATGGGTGTTGAGCCTGCAGTGCAAAGGCAGTAGAAATTTCATGAGTGCTCTAAGAAGAGCAGTGGAAGTAGACCTCAAAGATAAAGACAAACATGTATCTCAAGGACTTTATCTGCTTACCACTGGAGTTCCTGACCAGGAGATGGTAGGTATCAATACAAAATTTTGCATGTTCTTTGTAAATATTTATTGCTTATTCAGAATAAATCTCAAACTTTTTTCAGCTACCTCCTGTAGTTTGGTGATAGAACACTTGTCTTTCATATAAGTAAGCCTGTCAGCCATACCAGGATCTGTGACTTCACCTCCCGAAATTATTCATTCTTATATAATTCAAGGCAGGAAATATTGCTGGGTGAATCTCAAAAGGTTCTGGATGTTTTTCTGTGACCCACCCCCCAATACTCCCTGGCACTGTAGATCCCTTTTCTAGTGACAGCAGATCTTCCTTGCCCACTCCTGCCTCTATTTGGCAAATCCTCATCAGCCCCTCCTCCCCCCTCCCATGCCCTATCTGCAGGAGAAGACAACAGTCCACTCCCTCTTCAGCCAGGCCACACATCCTTCTCCAGACAGAAGAGGATTTAAATTATAAGGAGAAATCTCTCATCGGTTCTGTAGCTAACTCTAGAGTACATTTACTTAAAGTTAAGCTCTGAGGGTCAGATCCTTAGTTGGTATGAAGCGATATAGTGACTTCAATTGAATGACATTGATTTACACCAGCTAAGAATCTGGCCCTGCAAGTCAATAAAATAATCACTCTTCTGAAGTTCATGGTAGTAGCCTTTCTTTTTGTCTTGTAGCATGCAGTTAGTACTTACGTGGCCGATGTCTGTGGAGGTTGTGATTTGCAGCTTCATGTCTGTCTGTTCAGTGTAAATGGTTTTGACCCCAATGGCATTATTCCATCTCGTTATGCCAGTCCAAATGAAACCGCCAGCACGTTTAGAGAAATAGCACATGCTGCCAATGGAAGGTTTCATTGGTTTGGAGAAACAGGTATGTTTTTTAACTTCCATCTTAATATGTTCCTCCTCTATTGGGCAAGTCTGTAATGCACTATTATATGCAACTGTTTCCTGAGATAAATATCTTAACACAATGTAAAAGGAGAAGCTATTATACTGGCACTGAAATAGACAGAGTACTCATTCCGGTTAAGGCCTCTAGGTGCTACTGCAATATAAGAGTTTAATAATGATGCAGGATTTCTGTACTTTAGTATTTTAGAACCTACCATATGTACTCGTTCATAAGCCGATTTTTTTTAGTAAAAAGGGAAGCACCAGAGACGGGGGTCAGCTTATGAACGGGTATAGAGAGGGAGAGGTGGGACACAGCCCATCCCACCAACAGAGGGAGCAAGGAGGGGCAGCAGAGCCAGAAGGGAAGAGACGGGGCCAGAGTCTCTCCGCTTCTGGCCACGTTGCTCTCCCCCAGCCTCCGAAGCAGCTGCAGCTCCAGGGCTGGCAGGCTGCGGCCTTGCCGCTCGGCCCCACCCCCCAGAGCAGGCTGTGGCCGTACCGTCCGGCCCAGCCCGCTGGAACATGCTACAGCTGCGCCACCGGGTCTGGCCCGCCAGAGCAGGCTGCAGCCGCGCTGTCCAGCCTGCCGGCGCAGCTCCAGCCAGACCAGACACATCCTCCCCGGCCCTCCCTAGATAAGGTGGGAAGGGATGGGATGGGGAGAGTGTGGGGTCCCGGGCTAGGGGTGGGGTCATGTGGGAGGTGGTCATAGGGGTTACTCCTCTGACCCCCAGCTTCTCCCCCCCAAAAAAAATTTCCCCACCAGTTGCTGTCCCGGCCCGTCAGGGTAAGCAGCTGGCACTCCGGGACACTTTGTTTACTTAGGTTTACCTCCGTGCCCGCAGACGATCGAGATAAACAAACCATCTCGGCCCACCAGCAGCTTATCCTGCTGGCCCGGAAGCCAAAGTTTGCTGACCCCTGAATTATAGGGTCGGTTTATGAATGGGTTATAAAAATTTTCCATTTTTACTTATCCATCTTGGGGGGGGGTCGGCTTATAAACGAACCGGCTTATGATCGAGTATATACTGTAATTAGAAAGTAATGTAATAATAAGTCAACTCCGGATAGGCATTTCTAAAGACAAACATTTTAAAGTTTTTAATTACTTATAAAGTGTGGGCTAAATTATATCTAGCCCTTATGAAGTACACACTTTACTTTTTGTTCTCTTTTTCTGTTGATTTTTTTGTATGCTCTGCAAGTTGCAATATACTTTCTTTAAAATAATTACCTATTGATAAGCATATGTTTAATTACCAGGCATTTATGAAAGTGATGATATCAGTATTATTGTGTCTGAAATGGAAAAAGCAGTCAACTACTCCCAAAAGGTATGCTTTAAAAATACCATTTTAAATTTTCTTTAGAAAATAGCTCTACAATATTTGTTCAGTTGATGGAGTTCAGGCATTAGCTACGAAATCAAAATAATTTATAAGATAGTGCATGATTTAGGATAATATACAATAATGTTTAAAGTAAAAATAGAGTTCTGCTCTGGAAAGCAACTATAAAACTGGCCTTGTGGTGTTCCATGTTTGTGTTTCAATGATTCCATATCAAATATGATGAGTTTATAAGTAAAAGGATGCTCTTTTTATCTGCCAATCCTGTAAACTCAGCCTGGGCTTTGAGAGTCAAGCTGGGTGGTTCTTGCACATCACCAGTAATAAAGATTCTGCAGCCAAATTATGCCCTTAATTATTTGTGAACAACCCAAATGGAAATGATAAATATAACTGTGGACATAATTTGGCCTGCAGAATCTTTATTACTGGTGAAGGTACACAAAATGGTCAGAACTCTGCTGTGTAGTCTAATCAAGTTGTAGTTCAGTCTAGTGGATAAGGCACTGGGATTGGGAATCAGGAGGCCTGGGTTTCCTTCCCCTCTCTGCCTTTGTCCTACTGTGTGATCCATGGGCCAGTCACTCCATCTCTCTACACCTCTGTTTCCACTCCCATCTTTGTCTGACTTGTACATGTAGATTGTAAACTCTTTGTGGCAGGGACTGGCTCTTACTTTGTACAGCACCTAGCGGAATGGGGCATCTAGGCACGGTTGTAATACAGGTAATAAAAAATTTATTCTTCGTACCCAGGTTGATTTTGCATAGCCATCAGTTTTACTTGTAAACTAAGGTAATATAATATGGAATCATTTATATACAACAAAAATGGACATTTGATTTGTTCTCAAATTACATTCAACGTAATGTCATGCATTTGACGTGCCTGTTTCTTTTGGAAATGGTTCTTCTGACTAATGCTAAAATTAGACATCTTGAGGTAAATGTTCAAAAATCTACCCCTCATCATCTGCCTCCCTTGTTGAAAATCTACCTCATCTACTAAGGAAACATGTAACGTCTGTATGTAGGTTATTTGATTGTTTTTACTATGTTTTTTTCTGTAATGCTCTCTCCTTAAGAATAAAAGTGCTTGCTTAGAAAGGTCTGTGTGGCAACTTATAAATGTTCACACCCTCTGAGGAGAAAACAAAACGTAGATGCACGCCTGTTTAGGCAGTCAGGCTTGCCAAGGAACTCACACTGTTGGCAAGGAACTGTGCAGGCTGGAAAAAAAACAGTTAGGAGGGACAAAGACCTGGGTCTCCCCCCCAAAAGATATGATGACTGAGGAGCCAAGAAGCCTAGAGTAGGCTATACCATGGAGGAGGTTGCAGATGCAGTTGTCCCAAGCTGTCACAGATGTAATAAAGTTACAGTTTAAAAGCTGAGTTTCTAATATATGGAAGACCCTGAGGAAAGTATATTGTATTCTGATATCTTTGTTGCTCAGGCAAATGCAGAGGGAAGGAGATTGCATTGACAAAAACTAGGTAGATATTCAGGAGAGTCTTATGATGTATGTCTTATTTATTGCTTGTATCATTTTAAATTAACCACCTAGTGTTCACATAGCTAATCTCTGTAAAATATTTCGTTGTTGGCTTTGTCCTCTCTCTCCCACTCAATCCTGTTTGTTACACGAACTTGTCTGTGCCTCGTTTTAAATCAGATTGTGTACTCTTCAGGACAGGAATTTTCTTTGTGTGTTTGTGCAGTGCATAGCACAGTGGGGCTCCAATCCTGACTGGGACAGGTAGGTGTTGCTGTATTACAAATAAGGAATAGTAAGGTGGCTGTTTAAAATGTATACTTAAATTGCCTGCAAAGGAACTGTTAAGCTGAGCACCAATCTGAATTTTCATTTCAGTGTGCCTTGCTGGTGGAATCCTTAAAGCAACGTTCAGGAACTCAGTTGGTTAATCAGTTTATCCCAGAAGAAGATTTAAAGATGCTCTTAAAAAAGGAGAGAACTAGAGCACAGAAATTGCTGCCTCCTAAACCTACAGCTCTCACTCTGGCTAGAATGGTTTGATTTCATTTATTACCCATATTTTAAAGATATACTGTATATACTCATTCATAAGCCGAATATTTTTAGTAAAAAAGGGAAGCACCAGAGAAGGGGGTCAGCTTATGAACGGGTATACACAGCCCCTCCCCCCAACAGAAAGAGCAAGGAGAGGCAGCAGAGCCAGAAGGGAAGAGGCGGGGCCAGAGTCTCTCCACTTCTGGCCACGCTGCTCTCCCCGCAGCCTCTGAAGCAGCTGCAGCTCCAGGGCTGGCAGGCTGCAGCCATGCCGCCTGGCCCTGCCCCCCAGAGCAAGCTGTGGCCATGCCGCCCAGTCCAACCCGCTGGAACTTGCTGCAGCCGCACCACCCGGTCTGGCCCACCGGAGCAGGTTGCAGCCGCACTGCCCAGCCTGCCGGAGCAGCTCCAGCCAGGCCAGACACATCCTCCCCAAATAAGGTGGGAAGAGATGGGATGGAAAGAGTGTGGGGGTCCCGGACTAGGGGTCATGTGGGAGGTGGTCACAGGGGTTACTCCTCTGACCCCCAGCTTCTCCCCCCAAAAAAATTTCCCCAGCAGTTGCTGTCCCGGTCCATCAGGGTAAGCCGCTGGCGTGCCGGGACACTTTGTTTACTTAGGTTTACCGCCGTGCCTGCAGACCCTCGAGATAAACAAACCATCTCGGCCTGCCAGCGGCTTATTCTGATGGCCCGGGAGCCAATGTTTGCTGACCCCTGAATTATAGGGTCGGCTTATGAACGGGTCATAAAAATTTTCCATTTTTACTTATCCATCTTGGGGGTGGGGGGGTTGGCTTATAAACAAACCAGCTTATGATCGAGTATATACGGTAATCTGTTTTAGTGAGTGACAATACACAAGAGGTCAGATGCTGCCCTTTGGAAGAGAAAAGTGCTTAAGATGGAAATTTTACGGAATATCTTTTTGGTAAAATACCATAATAATACTCAGCAATTATATAGCACTTTATGTTGAGTGCTACATAAACATTATCAGGAAGTAATCCTCTTAACAACCATGTGAGATAGGCATAGTGATACCTGCTAGGTGGTACAAGAGACCACACTTGTAATGCAACCTCCTGGCCTAGGAAACTGCACCAAAGTATATACAAACATAGCAAGTACAGTTTTGCATTGCCTCTGTTTAAAAAAAAAACCCACCTTTCTGAATAGCCAGTTTTGCCAGTCCCTTGAGTGGCAACTTATGAGAGATGCTGCAATATATTATCTCCATTTTATAAATGAGGCTGAAGCAGAGAAGTGGCTTTCCCAAGGCCACACAGTGAGTCAGTATCAGAACCATGATTAGAATTCAGGACTTTTTGCCTCCTGACCCTTTGCTGGAATAGTCTCAGTGGATAATCTCAACAACTGTTCCATGATAAATTATCCAAGACAGTATTTACCAAATATCCCATAAAAAACACAGGACAAATGTATAATACAAGACATGATATGAAGCATTGTTGTATACTTAGAGATGTGAAAATCTTCACAGAATACTCGGTAGAAGTCTAGTGATCCTTTAATGTTCCCTTTATCCGTAGTTAGGGTTTGTCAGCTAGAGATGATCAGGTTTGTTATGCTGTTTGCTCCATAACGTCCCCTGTACATTCAGTGGTAAAGCAAAGGTCTGACCCTGCTGTTGAAGCCAACAGGATTTCAATGAGAAAATACAGCATAGTGAATTAATTGGGGTGGGATGCTCCTGGAAGTTAGCCTGTGCTAAAACTCATCTGCAAGTTTGTCATTGGTACCAGAATAAAAGGGAGATAGAAAATAGGCCCTAGTGTATTGAGTGTGAAATTCTGTAACAAGATGTAGTCAAAAGGAAATGTTTAGAAGATTCACTCATTATCTGTGCTTTTAGAATATCAAAGACAATCATGAGGGGGAAAAAAATGCTGCCTTAAAAGCTCTGACATGGCGTCCAACTAGTGCCAAAGCAGAAATCCCACCACGTAATGTATAGATAAAGTTCATTATTTTATATCGAAAGCCACTGGAATAGTTAGATTAGAACAAGTGTGTTTATCTTCGCAAACACTTTCTAGAACCTGATTATACACTTCTTAACCAGACAGCTATGACAATTAGGAAACAGGACAATTGTTTTCAAAGTAAAGCCATTTCAGTTTAGAAAATCAGAATTGATTTGGTTCTAAATTCATATTCCATCATCTCTTGAAGTTTGAGCCAGTGAGGAGTAATACGTATTGTTACTTTTCTTCCCCAATGATTATGGTGTTAATCTCTCAACCTCAGATTCATAAATCTGTTCATTTTACCTCTTTGTAAGTGTCTAAGCTTGTTGATCCCCACTTGTATATGGAGAACATGAGTGAAATTAATAATATTTGACCATTTTTATCTACATGTAAAATCTTTTAGGTATTTCGATCTGTGACCATGTAAAATTATGACATGAATAGTACAGTGGAGTAACATTGCAAAAGCAGGCATGATTGTCCTATCTGAAACAATACAATATTTACTATTATATTGTAGCTCAGCCGATAAAAGAATGGACTCAGACTTCTGTGAAGAAGAAACATAAATCAAGAAAACAGTCACAGATCTCCCTCTCAGTATTTTATATTGACAAAGGAAAAAATGTGGGTAAGTGCTCTCAGCATCTGACAGCTAAATATTTGTCTTTTTACTTACAAAACTATTTAGATATTAATTCACTGAACACCAGCAAGCTTTTTACTCTGATTTTTACGCATAGGAGAAATGTATGGAAAATGGTTTGTCAAATGGTGAACAGTACAACCAGTGATTTATTTTATGCTTTCATTGATTTCCTGCATGATCTTGGCCAAATCACTTCTCTCTACGTCATTTCAGTATATGTACACTGAATGGAATGACATTTACCCACCTTTGTAAAGTTCTTTGAAATCATCTGCTCAAAGATATTATAAGTCAGTAGTATTATCGTTGTCGTATGAGCCCATGTGGAAAAGTTTGGATCACAGTGCTCCACAGCAAATACAAGTTTAAAAGGGAAGTGACATTTTTTATATACAAAATGTTTTAGAGATTCTTAGGCACATATATTATGCCAACTACAGAAAAGATCCCATTGACTTAAGCATGGCCATGATTTCACCCAGAGTGTCTAATTTCACTTTTTTTCCTGCTCTGGCTAGGTGCAGTTTACAGAAAGTATCCAAAGAAAAAAAGCATGAGGAGGTCTGTTCCTGTTGCTACACTGCCAAAGGAAGAGGAAATATGTTCAAGCAAAGAGGTATTCAGTTATTTATTAATGTTACCACCATCTTTATTAGACCACTTAAGAGAAATGAACATTGAAAATGAGTATTTGTGACTTAGACAAATATAGTTTTGCATGTGGTTTTAATATTTGCTGTCATAGATCTAGTTAAGTTAACAGAGTGCTCTATTTTTTCTCTTAAAAGTGGTTGAACAAGTACAGTATAAAAAAGTTGAAGTTAGACTTGCCCAGAATTATGTTTGGTCCCAACTGTGTTCACCAAAAGAAAATGGTGGAGTCTTTGCACAAGAAAGTGTCAGCAAAATACTGTACCATCTTCCCCAGTGTGGAAATCAATGTAAGTTGATGCAGATATCATGAACCCTTGTATTTGAGGTGCATATCATAACATGGTTTTGTATTCATTTAACACAGTTCCAGTTAGTCTCTAATTGTGCCAAACCAGTGTTAATAATCTAACCCATAGTGTAAGTTTATCTTTCCCGCAGTATACAAAAACAACAGGGTCTATCTGTTAATAAGAAACTGTATATTATTTTAAAATTATTGTGGGTAATATACAGTACACCTGTACGAATATATGTATGCACTTAATATCCCTAGACTAGTCCTAGATTAAGATCTCTTGTGCCCCAGCAATTTGAAAGGAAAAAGACATAAAGGGCTAAATCTATCCGTTCTGACTCGAATAAATTTCCCACTGAAATCAGTAAGAGTTGTGTGTGAGTAGAAGCTGATGGATTTGTTCAGGCTGTAAACATTTCCATGTAATTAGTTAAAGTACAGATAATTCAACAATCTGAAGGAAACCGGAATTTACCCTAAGGTATTGATCAATGGTCTGTCACCTAACTAAAGTGACACCATAAAAATACAAGAAATAAATGTATCCAGTCAAATTCTATCATATGCACCCTCGTTTGACTAGAACCAGGTTTTCCTAATGTGGTTAAACCTACAACAGCCGCCAAAGGTGTAATATGGGAGCTCTCCTATATCACTGCCTTCAGCCACTATATCATGGGTGTTCTAGATGGTAACATTTATGTCCCTGAGCAGCCATATAGACTGACATGGCAGCATAGTACGTCTGCTGAAATAAGACATTCTTCTACCAATGGTGTAAATTGTTCTAGGGTATTGTGAAACACCTACAATTTCAGCCTAAGGAACTAGAAGACTATGTTGAACAAATGGAGAGGGTGTTACGTTGCTATATACGAAGAATACAGTGGCTTCTCTCAGGTAGGCTTTACATTTGGAATAGGGATGAGGTTATAATCCATGATTGTGCAAGTGTAATCCAAGCATGATTAAAATATTTCCTCTTGCCTACTCCTTCTACTGGCATAAAATGTGGACAGAATAGTAAACATTAGGTCTGAATAAGGAGCTAGTGTATCTATTATTCCATGATTATTTGCTGAAGGAACCACTGCACAATTTGCTGAAGGAACCACTCTCTTGTCCTCTCCTTGCTGCAGAATTGTGCTCCAGAATCTAAACTTCGATTTTTTTTAAATTAATGTTTATGGTAAAGTCCTCATGGTTGTAAAGAAAGCCTTGAAAGATGAACTAAGGTATGTACACTGCAATGAAAAACACACAGTTGCCCTCTGACTTGGGCCCACGGGGCTCAGGCTGCAGGGCTGTTCCATTGCAGTGTAGGCTTTCTGGGCTCAGGATGGAACCTGAGCTTTGGGACCCTCCCACCTTGCAAGGTCCTCCAGCCCAAACCCAGAAGTCTACACTGCAGTGAAACAGCCCCACAGCCTGAGCCCCAGGAGCTTGAGTCAGCTGGCATGGGCCAGCTGCAAGTTTTTATTTACAGTGTAGACATACCTTAAGTGCAAACTTGGCATGCAATATTCTCTTCCAGAGTCTGCGGAGAGCTTGAAACACTAGCTTTGAGTGGTGGGAACTGCCCCTGTTAATCTCAATAGGGTATTAACCCTAAAACCCAAAGATTTCAAGGCAATCCAAGTAACTGTGTGGAATTTAGAAGAGTCCATCTTTAAACAGAAAGCTTTTCTAAACCTTAATTGCAGCATAATTGGTACTCCGCTATAATCGGTTAAATATTAACACTAAATATTTCACTGCAGATCATTTTAATAAAAACATCTATTTAATGTGCTTATCCCACAAATCCAAATGGTTTGTCATGCCTCCTCAGTGCCAGATGTCTTTATTGCCCTTACATAGCTGCCAAAAGCTCCTGCTTTCCCACCTGACTTCTAGAATGCAGTTATCAGCTGCACACCCCGAAAAAAGTCAGTGTTGAAAATTGAAGATATGGGGATAGTGTTAAATACATTAAATTTACTGTCAAAAAAATCACACAAGGACTGCTGTACTGCTTGTGGTATTGGCGTTTATTTTTAAAAACTCAAAAACATTAAAAGAAGTTGCAGTGGAATTTCCAATCGGCCACCTCAGAGCGCAGCAGAATCCAAGGATCTTGCAGCTGAATTTAGACCCTGCTTGCTATGGAGTACATGGTGCCCTGCTCATACATTTTTTAGTGTTTGTGAAAAGTACCAGGTTGATATTCCTGGAAGCAGAACATGGCCACAGCAATGCAAGCTTCCCCACATCCACCACTGCTAATGTGCCTCAACCTTGACATGGAGGGCCCATTCTAAGGGTGAAAGAATGGTTCAGTATCCAAACTGATTAAGTCTTGGGCTTCATGTACAGCTATATCGCAGCACAGCTACACCACTGTAGCACTTTAGTGAAGACGTTCCTACACCTACAGGAGAGCTTCTCCTATCACATAGTTAATCTACTTCCCCGAGAGGCAGTAGCTCTCCCACTGACATAGTGCTGTCTCATGGGGGGTTGGGTCAGTATAATTTAGGGCTATCAAGTGATTAAAAAAATTAATTGCGATTATTCGTGCTGTTAAACAATAATAGAATACCATTTATTTAAATATTTTTGGATGTTTTCTACATTTTCAAATATATTGATTTCAATTACAACACAGAATACAAAGTGTACAGTGCTCACTATATATTTTTATTACAAATATTTTCACTGAAAACAACAAAGAAATAGTGTTTTTCAGTTCACCTAATACAAGTACTGTAGTGCAGTCTCTTTATAATGAAAGTTGAACTTACAAATGTAGAATTATGTACCAAAAATAACTGCATTCAAAAATAGAACAATGTAAAACTTTAGAGCCTGCAAGTCCACTCAGTCCTACTTCAGCCAATCACTCCGACAGACAAGTTTGTTTACATTTGCAGGAGATAATGCTCCCCGCTTCTTGTTTTCAATGTCACCTGAATGTCAGAACAGGCGCTTGCATCACGCTGTTGTAGCCTGCGTCACAAGATATTTACGTGCCAGATGTGCTAAAGATTCATATGTCCCTTCATGCTTCAACCACCATTCCAGAGGACATGCGTCCATGCTGATGACAGGTTCTGATCGATTATCATCCAAAGCAGTGCGGACCGACATGTTCATTTTCATCATCTGAGTCAGATGCCACCAGCACAAGGTTGATTTTCTTTTTTGGTGGTTCGGGTTCTGTAGTTTCTTCCGCATCAGAGTGTTGCTCTTTTAAGACTTCTGAAAGCATGCTCTGTACCTCGTCCCTCTCAAATTTTGGATGGCACTTCAGATACTTAAACCTGGGGTCAAGTACTGTAGCTATTTTTAGAAATCTCACATTGGTATTTTCTTTGCGTTTTGTCAAATCTGCTGTGAAAGTGTTCTTAAAACAAACATGTGCTGGGTCATCATCCAAGACTGCTATAACATGAAATATGTGGCAGAACGTGGGTAAAACAGAAAAGGAGACATGCATTTCTCCCCCAAAGAGTTCAGTCACAAATGTAATTAACACATTATTTTTTTAACAAGCGTCATCAGCATGGAAGCATGTCCTCTGGAATGGTGGCCAAAGCATGAAGGGGCATACGAATGTTTAGCATATCTGGCACGTAAAGACCTTGCAATGCCTGCTACAAAACTGCCATGCAAACGCCTGTTCTCACTTTCAGGTGACATTGTAAATAAGAAGGAGGCAGCAGTGTCTCCAGTAAATGTAAACAAACTTGTTTGTCTTAGCGATTGGCAGAACAAGTAGGACTGAGTGGACTTGTAGGTTCTAAAGTTTTACACTGTTTTGTTTTTGAGTGCAGTTATGTAACAATCAAAAAAATCTACATTTGTAAGTTGCACTTTCCCAATAAAGAGATCGCACTACAGTACTTGTATGAGGTGAATTGAAAAATACTATTTCTTTTGTTTATCATTTTTACAGTGAAAATATTTGTAATAAAAAATAATATAAAGTGAGCACTGTACACTTTGTATTCTATGTTGTAATAGAAATCGATATATTTGAAAATGTAGAAAAATATCCAAAATATTTAATAAATTTCAATTGGTATTCTATTGTTTAACAGTGCAATTAATCGCGATTAATTTTTTCAAGTTAACTGCGATTAATTGACAGCTCTAGTATAACTACATTGCTTATGCATGTGGACAAAGTTATACTGATATAGGTATGTAATGTAGACCTGGCCTTTGACCTGTACAGCATCTTCAAAAGACAAGCCTGGGTGCTTACATTCACAACTTTGCTAGACACTAAAAAACCTGGTCTTAAAGACACTGGATGTATGGGCTTATTACAACAATCTGTAACCCACTAACCCCCCTTTTTTTGTCCAATGACAGAAGAGGTGTCAATGGGCCACTTCACCTTGAATAGTCCCTTAGAAGCTGTGTTAAGTATGTATGCTAAACAATCTGTTCCACCTTGTATGTAGCTGTGACACTCTGAGAAATGTCTACACTGCAATTAGAAACCTGCGGCTGGCCCGTGCCAGCTGACTTGAGCGTGCGGGCTCAGGCTAAGGGCTGTTTAACTGAGGTATAATGTTCTGTCTCAGGCTGCAGCCCAAGCTCTGGGATCCTCCCATCTTGCAGTGTTCCAGAGCCCAGGCTTCAGCCTGACTGTCTACACTGCAATTAAACAGCCCCTAAACCTGAGCCCCACAAGCCAGAGTCAGCTGGCATGGGTCAGCTGCAGATTTTTAATTGCAGTGTAGATATACCATAAATGCCTTTCCCAGACCTGAATAAGAGCTCTGTGTAGCTCAAAAGTTTGTCTCTTTTACCAACAGAAGTTGGTCCAATAAAAGATGTACCTTATCCACCTTCTCTTTCTAATATCCTGGGCCCAACACAACTACAACAATGCTGCAAACAATGGAAAATTGAACTGATAATCTCAGTTGAATTGGTATATTTATAAAATGAGTCTATGAACTGATATTATGCTCTAAATCTCATGTTCTGGACTAGGAAGCCGGCGATTATTTGGCACCATTTTGGAGACAAAAGTATGCATCTTGATTGATACATCTGGTTCCATGGACCCTTATTTGCAACAGGTCACAAAAGAGCTTACCTCCCTCATCTGGGAGCAGCTAAGAAAGAATAATGCTAGGTATGTGTGAAAAGCTGATGACTGAAAGCTGTACAGTACTAAATAGCTAATTAAGTGGTATTGAAACACAATAGGAGCAGTTATTAGGAACTAGTACAGAATACATGTTTATTTTTTAAACCAGTAAGTATCAATTAAATCTTACATCTTTTCAAAGGATGTAAAGCAGTACATCCTTGATTATTTGAATCTCATTTATCTGAAATGACCTCTTATCCAAAGTAGTTTTGTCCCCCAGCATCTGTTGTTTACAAAGATAACACTGCTCTACAGCCAAAATGCTTCTGAAATAAATGTAGTCAAACTTTACTAATTCTGGGTCACTGAGAACAAAAATTATGCTTAAAATTGTTGATTGGCTCTAGTTTTCAAGATATGCTATTGGGTCACTATATACGACCCTTGACTTGGGAATGGCGGAGGATAAGTGAGTTATAAAGGGAAGGGATCTCAATTTAAACCAGAAATGACTAAAATACATCTTTGACTGGATCTATGAATAAATCTATGACTGGGTTTGGACAGTGCTTGCTTTTTAGGCAAAACAATGAATGATGCAATCTGAAGCTGTTATTTCATCATACATGATATGAATTGCATCATGTTATTCCTAGAAGTCATGGATGATGCAATCATAACGAAGCTTACATTACTCTGCTGAACAAATTGCCCTATATCAGCTCTAGAAATCATACAGTGTCGTGCTCCCTTATTTGTC